CATTTTTATATTAAATTGGATGTTTTTAGTACGTACTGCACCATGAGTCTTTACTTTCTCTTCCGAGTGGCGATCTGATCATCTTTAAAAAGTTTGGTGGCTGAATCCTTGAAGTGGATATACGTGATAAACAGTCCTGCAGAGTATTACTTCCTGGAGACCAGTTTTAAGCTTTTAGTGTTACCTCAACTACATGAAGATCATCGCTCCCAGAGCAACAAGCACTATATGCTGATTTATAACATGATCAGCATATTGCTCTGGTGAGTTTATTTAACCTATTTTAGTGGTGGATTCACTTGGTGACATTTGCTTTGAGCACTCCTGTTTTTTAAACATCACAAATATTTTGGACTTTGTTTTTTGGACTTTATTTGATGTAGCTTTGTTTGATATATATCTGTACACTTTTAGCACAACCTGTTTTTTTCTCATTTATTTACCAAAACATTCAAGCTATAGTTATATAATGGATATGAGCTGAAAATGCACACTCTCAGATTTAATTTGAGGGTATGTACATCCAAATTAGAGGAAGGGTTTAGGAACTACAGCTCTTAATAGTAGCCATCCCACCTTTTTTCAAGGGACCAAATTGGACAATTGAATCAAAAATGGTTTCATGGCCAGGTGTGGGCATACTTCATCAACTGAGCAGGTAAAAGGTCTGGAGTTGATTCTAAGTGTGGTATTTGAATTTGGAATCTATTGTTGTGAACCTACATCATGCGTTCAAAAGAGCTGTCCAAGTGAAACAGGCCATTGTAAGATTTAAAAAACTAAATAAATCCATCAGAGAGATAGCAGCAATATTAGGAGTGACCAAATCAACAGTTTGGTACATTGAGGAAAGAAGAAAGCACTGGTGAGGTCAGCAACATAAAAAGGCATGGATGTCCATGGAAAACAACAGTGGTGGATAATCACAGGATCCTCTCCAAAGAAAACCCATTCATAACATCCAGACAAGTGAAGGACACTCTCCAGGTGGGCGTATCAAATTCTACAATCAATTGTCAAATTCTACAATCAAGTGACCTCACAAGAGCAAATGCAGAGGGTTCATCACAAGGTGCAAACCGTTGATAAGCTTGGAGAATAGAAAAGCTAGATTAAACTTTGCCAAAAAAACATCTAAAAAAAGCCAGACCAGTTCTGGAAAAAGCATTTTTTGGACAGATGAAACCAAGATTAATCTATACCAGAATGACAGGCAGAAAAAAAAAAAAAAAAGGCGTGGAGAAGGCTTGGAACAGCTCATAATCCAAAGCACACAACGTCATCTGTAAAACATGGTGGAGGCAGTGTGATGGCATGGGCATGCATGGCCTTCAGTGGCACTGGGTCTTTGGTGTTTACTGATTACGTGAGAAAAGACAGAAGCAGCCAGATGAATTCTGCAGTGTTTAGAGATATACTGTAAGCCCAGATTCAGCCAAATGCAGAAAACACACTGCAAAAGAAACCCAGGAGCTTTTGAAGGAAAAGAAGTGGAATATTCTGCAATGGCCGTGTCAATCACCTGATTTCAACCCAATTGAGCATGCATTTCACTTGCTGAAGGCAAAACTAAAAAGGCAGAAAGACCCACAAAGAACAACTGAAGACAGCTGCAGTTAGAGTATGGCAAAGCACCAGAAAGGAGGAAACCTAGTCTTTGGTAATGTCCATGGGTTCTAGACTTCAGGCAGTCATTGCCAGTAAAGGATTCTCAACAAAATATTAAAAATGAACATTATATTTACGATTACATTCAATTGTCCGTTTACTTTTGGTCCCTTGAAAAAGGGTGGGTGGCTACTCTAAAGAGAGCTGTAATTTTTAAACCCTTCCTCAAATTTGGATGTACATACCCTCAAATAAACCTGAGAGTGTACACTTTCAGCCCATATCCATTATAGAACTATAGCTTGAATATGTTTTGTTAAATACCTGATAAAAAAACTAAAATTGTGCCAGTGTCCAAATAAATATGGACCCAACTGTATGAGGATGATCACGTAGCTGCTGTATCATTCACAAGCATGGGTGAAGTATTTGCACTTGTTTTTCTTACTGTGTATGTACTGTATCCTATTACTCAAAAAAGTGATTTGCAGCCTGGATGAATCCCTCAGTGTTCTGTGCCTATTCTCATGACCACCTTTGCTGATGACTGTTGCCAGCTAGGGGACAAGGACATGCAATGCCCAGGAGGTAAAATCCCAAATGTCTATGGACGCACACAGCCTGTCTTAGAAGTGACCCTGCACGAGCGCACCAATAGAAAGCAGCTTTCTAAGATGACATGTGGAGAAGAGAAGGAGCCAAGAGCACCGGCAGGGGACTCCAGAAGAGGAGGTTCAGGGCCACTCTGTGCACTACCCTTGCACAGAGGTAAGTATAAAAGGTTTTTATAAAAATAAATAAAAGCCTTTACAAACACTGCATGTCCAAGGAGGAGCATGCAGCACCCAGTACCTTATAAAAGTATCAAGTGGAAGTGGCAGTAAAATGTGTAACCTGAGATGTCATATCAATTTCTGTGGTTAAATTTTAGCATCACATTTTGCATTAGCACTGTATAAGTAAAAACATTTCAAAAATAATTCCTGGTTTCCAAATAGCGTTAATGTATAAGCGAATACTATTCAGGGTACACAATGTAATGAAAGTAATGGAGATATGGTGTCATACTTGCTATGGCACTACAGTACTGGTCAAAGAAACAGGGTGACCCTCTATCTTGCCCGTCCATGTCATCAGTCCCTATATAGGGTCTGGGCATCACCAGTCACTGTGGGCATGACCCTGATTAGATTTTCAGGGTCTAGGTTCAGTGCCAGGGTCTAGGATCCAGAGCTCAAAGCAAAATTACCAGCAATTCCCGCAGTGTTGGGTCAAGGTACAACTCACAAGTTTTTTTTATCAAGGCTGCACCAATTAGGACGCACTGCTTCTATTGTTATATTAGTAAACTGAAAAGTAGATTGAAGTGATCAGTCAGATATGGTATGTACAGTATATGGTTACATTGGTCCAAACTGGACCAATGTAACTATTTAAAAAAATACTATGCCTGATTTCATCTTTAATCCACTTTCTCTTTATAAGCTTTTATATGGAGGGAAATAATCACCATGTATAAATAGGTGGTTCAGAAAGTGAGCTTGATGCAGTGTTATCCATTTTAAGGTCACTACAAAGATGCACTCTAAGTCTGGAGGAAGAGATTTAACCTTTAATGCAATATTTCTTCACAATAAGAATTGTAAAAATGTGGAATAGACTCCCTCAAGAGATAGGTCTGACCAGCTCAGTACATTGTTCTAAAAAAGAGCTAGAAGCATTCCTAAATAGATATTAAAGTGGAAGTTTTGTTAGGCAAAACATTTTTCCCCATTCTGGATAGCACAAAGGATGGTTATAACCAGTCAGTTTTTTTAGGGGGTTTTTTTTTTTGCCACCTGTGTCCTGTTGGGGAGATTTACCTTTACCTTCCATCCCATGGCTAAAACAAGAAGTGAGAGCAAATCCCTACAAAAAGGGAAATCCTTGAGGACCCCCAGGTCACCAGATCTTGTGTCCCTGTTGGAAGATTTCCTCTCTATTACCTGTTTGGGGACAACCCAAAATTTGTGATTTTCTTTTACTTTCATTGATAATAGTAAAACAGAACAAATAGAGAGGGTGAATATCCCTACCGGGGACACAAACAATAAAAACTCAATAGGTGTTCTAATCCATCTCCACTGTATTCAAAAACTAAAAAAAGTTTTGCCTTTAGTACTACTCCAAGTCCTGTTAGATCCCTTCGGGCTAGGACCTTTTGCAGCTATAGCTATGTAAAATATTAAAAATGGGTGCCTATACTGTTTAACATAGAATAATAAGACTGTCTCATCCTGCTCTGCACATGCTCAGTTGCTCTCTACATTTTCAGCATGGTGATGAAAAACAGGGCGATCTGCTGACAAGTATTTACTGCTGCTCAGGAGTTTTGGGCTTCAGCAAGAAGCAGGAGGCAATTTACAGCACACAATTGGTTTGGTAGCATAATTAATAATGTGGAATGTATGTTCCTTGCTAAAAAAAAAACGTTTTTATCAAGTTGTTATGGGTAAAGTTCCACTTTAAGATTTGATAACACCAGAGATGGTTCATCCATGGGATAGAAGATTTCCTTTATGAGACAAAGGAAGGACTTTTTTTTTTTCCCTCCATTTAAGCAAATTGGATCATGATGGGGTGCTTTTTTCAGCCTTCCTCTGTATAGACTGTGGGTATAAGGTTTTGAATATTGAGGTTTCTCATTTATTTTTTCTTTCAGTTGTATAGTTAGGTTAAAAAGAGACACCATCTAGTTCAACTATGTAAAATCACAGGGCAAGAGAGATAAACACTTTCAGCAGTGTTGTTTTTCCAGCATAGGGGGCAATTCCTGACAACAGGGTATTGTTTGGTAGAGGGCCAGCAGCCCAATCTTGTTAAGGGCAATTGTTTTTAACTACTTTACCTTTCATAACAGGGTTGCTTTCATACGGCATATATGTTTAAATGAGTTCACGCTTTCATATTTAAGCTCGGTACATATGGGCTGAAAATTACCAAAAAACTGTCCGTTTGGCAGGAACCAGCTAACTTTCAGGTCATGTGTACAGCTCTTCACCCGACAGAAGTCGGTCTCACAACTGGCTTTTGTTGAACGGGCAAGCTGGACAACCAGCATCTGATTGGCATCCAATCAGCACTGGCAGTCAATGACTGCCAGCGCTGATTCAGTGTGTCCTAGCAGGGGGGCAGAGTGGTCCCCCAGTCAGGACACAACAGCTCAGTCATCAGGAAACTAACCAACCATACAAAGTGGGAAGATCGCCGTACGAACATCTTTTTTGTTCAGCTCATGGGGTCGAACAAGGAAAAAAGAAGTGAGTGTAAAATGCTATGATTTTAGCAACTTGCCATTGAAAATTTTCCTAGCAAGAATAGTAGTATTCAATTAATATCTCTCTCACCTTTAGAGAATTTAAAGCAGACAAAAGCACCTCAACATTTTCATCCATGAGACGAGCCATGATCGCGTCCTTAAGAAAAGATTCATCAAAACCTGACTGTAAAACAAAAGTAATATACAGTCAATATACAGACTTAATATACAGTTAAGATCAACACTGATGGTCAACACACAGCCCGCCACTTTACTGATCATCCTGCTGTGAGCCAGACCTCAAAATCAGGTAACACAGGGACCAGCACACTGGGTACAAGCACCTTTGGCACCTTGAAGCACTAGAAATGAGAAAAGCTTACCAACCTAAAAAAGTGTTCACTAAAAACAGTGCTTAGCAGGATGCAGCAGGCTAATATGTGTATTAAAAAAAAAAAAAAAAAAAAACAAATCACAAAAATAAATAGGATAGTCTCCAGTCAAATGTTCTGGACGACACTTTTCCCTGTGTCTGCGTGCAAATCAAACACTTGTGTGAATGCAAATAGTTATCTACAATGACTTGCGCTGAAATGCATGGAGCACAACGCTGCGCTGAGCTGCATTGCGTTAAAATTCATACATGTTGCATTTTAGCGCAATACAGATCAATGCAGTGTTGTAGTGTGAACAAAACACAAACTATTTATGTGTCTGTGTTGACTTGCATTTCACAAGTGCGCTAAAACGCAGATCAATGCAAGCCAACACACGTTAAAACATGACTAAAATGCATGGAAATGTACATGCATTTTCACGCAAATCAGTGTGAATTCACCCTTAAACTATCGAGAATCTTCCTGACCATAGAAGTTAAACAGGTCTGTAGTTGCTTAGTAAAATTTTGATCCCTTTTTAAAAAGGCACCATATTGGCCCTATGCCAAACCTGTGGAATCCCAATGCAAGGGTAAAACGCGACTAAAATGCATGGAAATGAACATGCATTTTAACACAATTCAGTGTGAATTCACACTAATAAAAGCCAATAGAGTTTTCCTAAAAACTATTTTAAAGCAATAGCATGGATTCACAAAAGGCCAAAGCTGTCAAACAAAACTGATTTCTTTTTATGAAAAAGGTAAGCAAAAACTTGGACAAAATGAGTGGCTGTGGATATAGTATGCTGGGATTTTACAAAAGCGTTTGACACCATTCCCCACACATGGCTAGTGTGTAAACTAAAGTGGTTGTAAACCTCAGGCATAAAATATGAACAAAACATATCCCTATATAGTGTGTACTTGTCGCAATCCAGAGCATAAAGTGTCATTTCTGTCTGCCGCTTTGTTCCTCTGCTATCAGCATGAATCATTTCTGACAAGTTTTCCTGACAAAAAGAAAAAAAAACAGTGACTGGGAGGGACCTCCAGCAGATTGACAGCCTCAGCTCTGTATCTTTGAGCTGTATGTATGGGGTGCATCTCTTCACTCCTATCCACTCAGAACTCGCCACACTGAACCCTAGACAAGCTTTAAAAATTAAGGACTCTGAATGGATGTAGAGAAAAGAAGACTACAGATAAAATCATGTATCACATGCCAGTCACTTCACTGGGTATATGTAGGAGTTTGCAAGCACTTTTTAATTTATAAACATTCTAGAGTTTGGGATTAAAAGTATAATTTCAGTGTTTGCACCAGTGGAAAAACGTTCTTAAAAGATGCCAATTTACAAGTCAACCTCAAGGCACTATTCAATTAGGCAAATATTTGGCAAGTTATGCACCTGAGGGCTAAAAATATGCATGCAACATACACGCAAGGAGTACGCTGAAGAAGTCAATAGTTGAGAAGGATCTCAACCGTTCTAGGTTCTGGGTGTTGTCGAGAAGAGGCAATTAACCACTTGCCCTCCAGAGGATTACCCCCCCCCCCCCCCCCCCCCCCCAACCAGGCTATTTTTTGTGATACGGAGCTGAGTTACTTTGACAATTGCGCGGTCATGCAACGCTGCACCCAAATGAAAAGGTCTTTTTTTTTTCCCAAAAAAAATAGAGCTCTCTTTTGGCGGTATTTGATCGCCTATGCAGTTTTTCATTTTTTGTGCTATTAAAAAGAAAAAAAAAAAAAAAAAAAAAAAAGTACCACCAATTGAGGGAAAAGAAACTATTTTTGACTTTTTGCTATTAAACATGTCCAGTACAAAAATTTAAAAAAAAAAGTCTAATTTAGTCAAATTTAGGCCACAACGTATTCTGCTAAATGTGTAGCGATCAGGGACTTATACTGCGGGACTGCGGCGTGCGTTCTGACATGGGGGGGTGGGGGGAGTACTGACTGTAACGGACATCCCCAGTGACTCAAATACAGTGATCAGTGCTAATAAAAAGCACTGACATTACACTGACACTGGGGCGATCAAAGCGTTAACTGTGTGCGGTTTTACTGTGTGTGTGCTTTACACTGTAAACACACTGCTTTGTATGGCTCTGCTATGCATGTGAGGTATCGTCGTGAACTTCAGATCAAGGGCAGTAATTCTAACACTACCTCCTCTGTAAATCTAAAATGGTAGCTTGTAAAGGCTTTTAAGACTGTCTATGGATATTAAAAACATATGCAGTTTGTCGCCATTGCACAGGGCATACACAGCTTTAAAGTATGTCATGTTTGATATCTATTTACTCGACATACCATCTTTTATATTTCACCAAAGAATTGGCCAATATATTGTGTTTTTGTGCATTAAAAGTAAAAAAAAAAAAGTGTTTTTTTTTTTTAAATTGCGTTTGAAAAATCGCTGCGCGAGTACTATGTAACAAAAAATTGTAACACCCACCATTTTATTAACTAGGGTGTTTGCTTTAAAAAATATATAATGTTTGGGGTTTAAATTAATTTCCTAGCAAAAAAATACTGATTTTTTTTTCCATGTGAACAAAAAGTGTCAGAAAAGGCTTGATCTTCAGGTGGTTATAAGAGTGAGTGATGTGTGGCATAAACTTCTAATGCTAGGGTATAAAATGCTCCCACCCCCCAAAACGACACCCCAAACTAATTGCTGAGAGGCATGTTGAATCAATAGAAGAATTTCTTTTACTACAAGTTTTTGGAAAATTACAATTTTTTTTTTCACAAAATTGTCACTTAAATGATTTATTGCTTACATATGCCATGGGTATATGTGGAATTATTCCCCAAAATACATTCTTCTACTTCTCCAGAGTATGGGGGTTCCACATGTGAGACTTTTTGGCAGTCTAGCCAAGTACAGGAGCCCAAAATCCAACAAGCACCTCCAGGCTTTTAAAGGACTTTATTTCTGCATTACACTTCCTGACTACCTATCACAATTTCAGGGACCCTGAAATGCCAGGATAGCACCAACCCCCCCAAATTACCCCTTTTTAGATAGTAGACACCTCAAGGAATTTGATAAGAAGTATGGGAGTATTTTGAAGATCTCATTTATTGCCACAAGTTTTTGGAATATTAAGGAAAAAAAAAAAAACAAAAAACACATTGTCGCTATATAAATCCTGTATATAATAATTTTCTTTTTTTATATTTCAAAACCTTGTGAGAAAAAAAATTAGATCTGCAAAATACTCACCATGCCTCTTTAAATTCCTTGGGGTATCTACTTTCCCAAAAAAAAAAGGGGGGGGTCATTGGGGGGGGGGGGGGTGCTGTGCTATCCTGGCGTTTCAGGGCCTTTGAAACTGTGATAGGTAGTGAGGAACTGAAATGAGGAAGTTACGCAAGCTTTCAAAGTGGTCATTGGATTTCAGGCTCCTGTATGTGGCTAGGCTCCCAAAAAGTCTCACACATGTGGAATCCCCATACTCCTTAGAAGTGACAGAACGTATTTTGGGGTGTAATTCCACATATACCCATGGCTTGTGCGAGAACTATGTCATTTAAATGACAACTTTGTGTTAAAAAAAAAAAGTGTCATTTTCATTGTCATTTGTAGATGCTATCACTGTCACACAAAGCAATCAATATACACTTATTGGGATTTTTTTAACCAAAAATATGTAGCAGAATACATTTTGGCCTAAACTTATGACGAAATTTTAGTTTTTTGGATACTTTTTTTATGACAGAAATGAGAAAATGTTTTTTCCAAAAACATTTTTTTTGCTCTAAATTTGTTTGTAGCACCAAAACTAAACGGCGTACAGGTGACCAAATACCACCAAAAGAAAACGATTTGTGGGAAAAAAGGACATAAATGTTATTTATGTACCGTATTGCACGACCGCGCAATTGTCAGTTAAACTAGTGCAGCACAAAATAGCAAAAAAGGCGCAAATTGCAGAATCTATACCATAGTTTGTAGACGCTATAACTTTCACACAAAGCAATCAATATACACTTATTTGGATTTTCTTTTTTTTACTAAAAACATGTAGTAGAATACATTTTGGCCTAAATATATAACTTTACTTTTGGCTATAAAAAATATATAGTAAACTCAAAGAATATAGATTTTTGTTTATAGCACGAAAAATAAAAAGCGCACAGGTGATCAAACACCACCGAAAGAAAGCTCTATTTGTGTGAAAAAAAGGATGTCAATTTTGTTTGGGTACAGCATTGCGAAACCACGCAATCAGTTGAATTAATGCAGCGCCGAGTAGCAAAAAGAGGCCTGGTCATTAAGAGGAGGGTAAATCCTCTGGAGGGCAAGTGGTTATATACATGGGCCGGACGGGAGCATTGCAGGAGCGCGTGGCCATTTACAAACATCCTCCCCGCCTGTGCACGTGCGGCACCGCAATCCAGTGCCCACTGTGTCCGCAGGACACAGCGGAACACAGATCGATGTACGCGACCTCTGTGTGAGGTCCCGATCATGTGACCGCTGATTGGCCAATAATATATATATATATATATATATATATATATATATATATTCAAAAAAAGGTTTGAAAAATTATTTTTGGTTATAAACTAATTTGGGTTTTTTTTGACTAAAAGATAAATGAATACATTTTGGCCAGGATTTATTAAGAAAGATTTGCAAAACACTTTTTTCAAAATGTTTGCTGTTTGCACTTTTTCATTTATATAGCAACAAAATAAAAATCCCAGTGGTGAATAAATACCACCAAAATAAAGTTTTATCTCTCCAAAAAAATGCTAAAGAATTCATATGGGTACAGTGTTACATTAC